CCAGCTCTCTAGATACCGGTGGTTTGGGGGCCTGGTTCACCTCGTCAAGAGATGCTTTGAAACCAGCGTCATTTATTTGCTCAACAATCTCGTCAACATTATCGCGAGGTCCAACATAAATTACTGTTGCGCTGTTGGTGAGAAGATTAACAGTGATGTTCTTCACAAACTCAAGCTGTTGGACTTGCGCGGTTATACTGTTAGCACATGATGCGCAACTCATTCCTCCAACGCTAATTTGGGCGGTGAACTCATTGGCCGATTCAGCGGACGAACTGGAAAGTTCTGCTGCATCTGTGTGTAATTTTGTAGTAGACACATCGGGTTGAAAGTTTGTTTCGGAGGTGGCAACTGAACGGAGACTCTCCTCGGCAGCATTCCGTGTGGTTGACTCAAGCTTGGCAGCAGTGATGTCTTGTTGGTGGTGCTTGCGTAGTGGCCGGAAGGAACTCTGTGAGGAAATCTTGTCCAAAAGTCCTAGCTCGGTTCGAGAAGTAGAATGACGAGAAAGTGCCTCCAGTTCCTCCTTCCTGCATGCATCGCAATTGGCAATATGTCGTTTGTGGCTATTGGTCTGGATTCGCCCTTTTATGTTGGAGGAAATGCTAGAAACAGAGGTCCGTGGCGAGGAGAACAGGGTGGAGCCTCTGTGATTCCAGGAAGAAGTGTCAAGTTCCGTGATGAGTCTTCCTCGTTGGTCAAATGTCGTAGCATGGTGTACTTCGAATGCGGCATGAATCAGATCATTGACGAGATCGGCCGGCCGAACAGTGGTGCTATGGCTTGCACGCACTTCATGCGTCAATATTGTGACCTCGATATTTTTGACTGAAGGGGTCTCGGAGAGCACTTCCGTGATATATGCAACGCATGATGCGCAGTGAACATTGGAGACGAAGAAAACACTGATATGGGTGTCAAAGTCTTCGTAGACTGACTCCAAGTCAGAAGACTTATGGGGGGTTCTTGACGACATAGTTGACGGGGTTCAGCGCTTATAGAGCGGTTCGGTATCAAGGTAAAGGGAAGAGCAACCAGCGGCACTTTATCATACACAGCAATAGCTGGGAATGGGATTGAATTTGCAAGAGTAGATCACATTTCATTACGAGAGAAAAGAAAAGGAAACCCCTAGAAGTAAGTGCATTAGTTGAAACATGGCGAAGATGCGCCATTTGTGCGTGATTCCTTCAAACCACGCACAAATACCGCATTCCAGACCCCTTGCGGCCCCCCTATGTAGTATGCCGCTAGTGTCGAGGTTACAACCAAGAATGACCAGACCATAATCGACATTTACAAAGCAACCATTCCAATAGCGTGGAGTATCAGGTCTGATGATGTTGTGCAGTGATGATGAATCATGGATCATCCAGGAACCTCAGGCACCGAGGGGCGACAAAGACCATATTGCATTAAGCCTAATTGGGCTAGCGTGTCAGTCTGCCAATTAAGGTCACATGGCTTACTAACAGAATCAATTAAATCGGCCATTCATGCAATGATACAGGTAGATATAGACAATAGTTAGAAGCTACTTCACTGAAGCCAACTTTCATGTTCAGTTGATTCAAATCTCGATTACCAACATTCAATCGACTCCAGGCAGGTCATATGTTCTAAACTAGCTCTGCAGGTTTCGGTCAATTACATAAGCAGGTTGAATACTTTTCCCTTTCCCTTCCACTTTCATCCTTATCGCGATTCTCGTGACAGTCGATAACCCTTTCGCTATAAAAAAGAAAAAAAGAAAGAGCCGCGTGACGCCCATTCAAAGAATTCCGAGGCTGTGAGGACTCGGCCTCCATCGAGTGCCCCCTGTCTACAATCAACCTCTGAAGCCTCTTACTTTTCGCGTCAATCAAAATGTCGGCACCTAGATCCGGCGCGCGTCCAATTCCTCCCCGCGGGCCCCGGCCTCCTGTGGGACGACTGGCCAGTCTCAAACCTCCCAACTCTACTCCTATCAATCGTCCAACGGCCCTTGGACGTCCTCAACCACCTCGCCCAACAACACATCCCAAAACATCGAATTGTCCAAACCCAGGATGCCCTGCTCCGCATATTGTCGACGATGGAGGCGTGAAGGTCTGCACGGGCTGTGGTACAGTCATCAGCGAGAACAACATTGTTTCAGAAGTCACGTTCGGTGAATCCTCTTCTGGTGCAGCTGTTGTGCAGGGATCTTTCGTCGGAGAAGATCAGACCCACGTACGCAGCTACGGTCCGGGTTTCCAGCGCGGTGGCGCCATGGAGAGTCGGGAAATGACCGAACAAAATGGAAACCGATACATGCTCCAACTTTCCCGAGCTTTAACCATTCCGGAAAGTGCGACCAAAGCGGCAGGTCAGGTCTTTAAGCTTGCCGTGGGGCTGAACTTTATCCAAGGTCGTCGCACCAAGACGGTAGCTGCGGTTTGCTTGTACATTGCATGCCGTCGTCAAAATGGCAATACCGTCATGCTGATTGATTTCGCCGATGTGTTGATGATCAACGTCTTCAAACTTGGTCGTACGTACAAGGCACTTCTCGACGAGCTCCGTCTGGGTGGCAATGTCTTTCTCATGAACCCCATTGACCCCGAAAGTTTGATTTATCGTTTCGCCAAGCAGCTAGAATTCGGACCATCACTCATGGCGGTAGCTGGAGAGGCAGTTCGGATCGTTCAGCGAATGAACCGTGATTGGATGACCACCGGTCGACGCCCAGCCGGTCTCTGTGGTGCCGCACTGATTCTTGCCGCGCGCATGAACAACTTCCGCCGAACTGTACGCGAAGTCGTCTATATTGTCAAAGTGACAGAGACCACTATCAGCCAGCGTTTGAACGAATTTGGTTCCACTGAGAGTGGTGAATTGACGGTTGATCAATTCCGTTCGGTCCAATTAGAGAACACTCACGATCCTCCATCCTTTACTCGCGGCCGAGAAGGTCGAAAGAGTCGCATCAAGAAGTTGCCAGAAACTGCGGCGGAACTCGAGGATAACGACTCTCCAACCGAAAGTGAAGCAGAATCAGTGCAGCCGCCTCGTATAGATGCAGACGGTTTCGCTATTCCCAGTCTCCCTATCGATCCGGCTTTGACGGCAATCAGTCACGGTCGACGTGCATCGGTAATTGCCAAGGCAGTAAATGAAGTCGTTGAAGATATCAAAAACGAGCCGGTCCACTCCAAGGGCAAGGGTAAGCGACAACCCACACCAGAACCCTCTGCCGAGCAGGTTGCGTCCGAAGCGGCGCTGGAGGATGAAATGCGTTCTATGCTTGCTCAAGGATCAAGTATGATCGAGAGCATCGGCTCCGAGCAACCGACGCGGCCCACCGTTTCCGACAGCACTGAAATCGATGCTGCCGAGTTTGAAGACGACCCCGAGGTCGCCAATTGTCTGCTTTTACCTGCCGAAGTCGAGATTAAGGAGTCGATTTGGGTGACAGAAAACAAGGAGTACCTCCGCACGCAACAAGCGAAAGCCCTAAAGCGGGCCCTGGAGGAGTCAACCGGCGGAGGCGCACCTCGCAAACCACGCAAGCGCCGTCGTGGCCGCCTTGGAGATGTTACTTATCTAGAGGGCGAGGGCGAAGATGGCCGCAGCTCCCGTGCCTCGACCCCAGCTGAGGCCACTCGTCGCATGCTCGAGCGCCGAGGTTACAGTAAGAAGATTAACTACTCTCTCCTGGACACATTGTACGGCGGTGAAGGGGGAGATGCAAAGTCGCAAAGCATGAGCCGCAGCCAAAGTCGCAGCCAAAGCGTCATCTCACGGCGCAGCGCCAGCATCGAGCCAGAAGCAGCCTCACGATCCCGGCGTGCAACTCCATCAGATGCCAAGTATGATGCCAAATTCATTCGTCCTAGTTCTACCGCTCCGCTGCCTACTCCACTATCTACCGCTCCATTTACCACTCAGGACGCAAAGCCAGCCATGGCCGAGAGTGGTCCCGTACACAAGGGTGAGGCAGATCCTGAGGAGGAGGAGGAGGAGGATGAGGAAGACGATTATGACGACGATGAGAAGGACGATGGCCTCGATGACGCATTTGCGGGCAACTACGAAAGCGACTATGATTATGGCGACGATGATGACTGAGGAATCTGACATCAGAAGCGGTGTTGTGCATTTCAGGTCCTTCGAGTGGATTTGGAGTTTTTGTAATGCGATTCCCATCCACTTTCTTTGTGACATTCTGTTTTACGGCCTTCAAGATGATACCATATCTTTCACCCACATAAGCATTGGGTTTTCTGAGTTGAATTATCATATTAATATTACAATTGCACTTTGCTCCGTTGCATCGATGTACTTTGAGCACGGCGCCCTGAACCTGGGTAGCATCAAGCCCCCTAGATCGCTAATGCCACTGATCCTTATCCTACACCTTCATCCTCTGCCTATCATTTACTCTCCTCCTATGTCAAGGTTACCTTGAGCAAGTACTACCTGCATGATCAGCTGCGCCATCACCACAACAAACGCCCATGTCAAATGCTTCTGAAAGAATCCTAGCGCCTATGCCAAACCCAAAGGCTGGTGCGTGGGCACGTTTACAAATTTAACGAAATAGAATACTGTCCAAGTGGTTGTAGGCCATGCCTGGTACCCAGTCAAGCCACATTGCCCAAAACCCCAGAGCAGTTTGAATCTTTTTGGATTATTGAGATAGATAGTCGTAGTTAAATATTTTCGTCAAAAGCAGGTAGCGAATACTTGAAGAACCCCCAGACTACGACGCCGGCCATTTCCCATGAAACTGAGGAAAGCAAAACCACCCAACCCCATGAAAAGCCTCCACTGGGCGAGAACCGATTGGGCCAGACTGGGTCAGTTAGGCGCGTGAGTCTCATAACTAAATAAGCAATAGTGAAAAGGAAATGGAAAAATTGAAAAAAAGACCCCCCCTCCCCCCGAGATCGATCGTGCTGGACTTCGAGTCATCACGGCGGGTCGGATCGGTCGGATCGGATGTGATTGAAGGGAATTGGATGCATTTTTCGAAAAAGTTACGAATCGATCTCCATCCCCATTGACGCGCCTCCGCTCATTTCGCCGAGGCTTGATGCTTGCGGGTTGTTGGACAGGGCTTGTTGGAGAAGTGGCACACCAGTGTCCATGGAGTTGAAGGAGATGTGTTGTGCGTTAGGTCGGTCACTGGCTCCCAGAGGAGCAACGCCCTCGAATATGATGAGGGAGCTACGGAGGTTTTGAAGGCAGGCTTCCCAGGAGGAGGCAACGAGCTGGCCTTGGGTGAGGTCTTCGCTGAAGAGATAAAACGCAGGTGAGGATCCAGATGTTGGAATGGCGGCCACAAGATAGGCGTTTAGAGCGCGGCTTTTCATGAGCATCTGGGAGTCGTGTAGGTGGGCCGAGTATTGGTTGTCGATATACTTGGTCCAGCCACGAACAGCAGGAGCCATGTCATCGTCGGCGTTGACGCGCTGCCAGCCAATACCCAAGAGGCGAGTGGCATCGTCTACTAGAGGCTCAGAGGGCGTAGCAGGGCCCGCATTGAGGGTGCGATGCTGATCGTTGGAGCTAGGATCCTCAAGACGTTGACGGATCGAGGACAACGCAATATCGTCCAGGCCTGGTGCGGATTTATCAAGGCGCTGGGACTTGCGGCTTACTTCGGTAGCATCGGAGAGCAGCGCATTTGACTCCGAGAAAACAGGTGCAGCAGCAGCCTGTTGCGCCTCAGACTCTTGTTCATACCATGTGCCGGTCTGGCTCTCGGCAGAGATCGCAAGGCCAGTCTGTGGATTCAAAAGGACCATACCTTCTCCATAGATGGGTTGAACCTTGCGTGCTGGCGGCACCTGGAGTCGTAAAGGCGCGCTGGGAGCAATGGCTCCTTCAAAAGTGGCCTCATCACGGGACCTTTTGCGGGAGGGCTTGGGAACCGCAGGGGCAGATGAGAGATTGAAGCTCGAGGGGATAGATTGCACAGAGCGATTGTTGGGAAGTAAGGTCTTAGAGCTTGTCGAACAGCCATTCAAGCTTCCTGGGGATTCGAGGAAAGGGGACTGAGAGGAGAACTGAGCGAAGGCGTGTTCCCGGGGAGGAGAGAGGACCGTAGCCGGGCCGTCCGAGAGCCGGTTAAAAATCATTGGACACATAGTTACTCGAAGTTGTCTTTGATTTTAAGGTGCGGGTGGGGGGTACTGTTCTGTTAGATTAGGTGAGCAAGACACAAGAAGCTTCAACCACCTGTGGAGAGACGGAAATAAGACGGAGAGGTGAGAGGTAGAAGAGGTCTCGGCAAAAGGGCAAGAAGAATAATTTCAGGGAGAAAGAAAGGTGGGATCGAAAGAAAAAAAAAAAGAACTAGGTAGGAAAAAATGGGGGAAATGGGAGAAAAGGAAACAAAGTAGAGTGAAGTAAGAGGAAAGGTAACAGCGTGAGACAGGAAAGAACGATCTCAAGAAGTGGATGAATCGATGCGCGAAGTGCGGAGGTATTGAGCCAAACGGTAACATACCACCAAAAAGCCGCTGTCCGATCGACCGTAACGGTATTGATACAGGCGCTATTTACGGGTACCATTGGCTTATGCAGCCAAGATGTCTTAGGTGGAGTCAGAGTGGATGGGTCCAGTCCAGCGGCGATTGGCCTATGGAGACGGACTTGTGGCCCGTGAGAAATTCATCACGTGAAGCTATTGGAATCACGTGTGGTTCATAACGTGTATGGTGACGTCATGTTAGTTTCAATTCTATGGGGATACTAACATGCGAGTGGAAAAAAATAAAATAAATTACATGGAGACCAGAATACCAGGACCAAAGCAAACAGACACCCGAGCTCGTGCAAGTCTAAAATCAATCAAGGTTCGTGGAAAAAAAAGGACACCTCCAGCAACAACACTTTCGTCTCACTGTATTCATCATGGAAATGTGGCTGAAAAAAAAGGTGATTAATAAGAGAGCCAAAAATTAGCACCCTTGTCATTGCATCGTAGGGGCCCATTTAGGAAAACGCCATGAGCGGCAGTCTCTGTGCGTTTCCGAAAGACGGTAAGGAACGGATACCGCTACACTTGCGCTCTCATCCCACCGACTCAATCCAACAATGGATATTGTGGCTTCGAACCGCGGGCGGAGTTTTCTGCGTTCCACGTTATAGGAGACTAAAAGCCACGAAAAAGCCAAGGGTCTGATAAGCGCATTTAGGCATTGCCAGCAGTGGCACCACCAAGGTAGCCCCTGACACGGTCGACAGAGTGATTGGCGTAATTCGGGGCCAAAGAACCAACAAAGAGGAAGAACATAAGAGCAGCCGCACCAAAGACGACAAACTTGCGCTGCGCAGGGCGGTTGTTGCCATACTCAGCCCAGGCACGGCCGGCGGAGGAAGTGTACTCGCGCATCTTGTCGCCGCCAAGCTTGTACCAGACAAGACCCATCAGGGCAATGGAATAACCGAAGAACTGAAGGCCGGTGACGGGAGTCTGCCATAGGAACATGGAGGCAGCGACCAGCAGAATGTCTTTGAGGACACCACACAGAGTCATGACCAAGGAAGAGGTCTTGCCAATCTGTAGAGGGAGTTAGTAATCTTCCCTTGAGATTGTGATCCGAAGGTCCGAAGCATCGCTTACCAGGAAAACGACCGAGACGTTGAGGAGGAAAGCCACAACGGCATTGAGAACCAGAAGCCAGATACCAACGGAGTAGACATGGTCCATGGTAACGTGGGGGAATTCCAAGAACAGAGCAACGACACCGTTCATGACAGCACAGATGGGGGCGAAGTAGTATAGAGAAACCATGGGGTCCATCTTGAAGTCGGCGGAGCTAAGAAGACCCTGCACCATGACCAGACGGGTGGCCTCAAAAATGATACCTCCGATCTGGAATAGGAAACCCACCAAGTTGAATTTGATCTCACCAAAGGAAGCGATAACAACACCAATCACAATGATGGAGACGTTGGCCAGAACCTTCATGTTGGCCGGGGCCATACCCATACCCCAGGTTGCGAGGAGAACAGCCACAGGGGTGGTGGCCTTGAGCATTTGGATGAACGCAACACTGAGGTAAAGGTAGGTCATGTTGCCGCAAATCAAGCTCAGGCTGAACATGATACCGATAGGGACGATAGCGCGGAGGTAGACACGGCCGGTCATCTTGACTTTCTTGCGGCCGTCAAGGATAGTAGTGGTGCGAGCGAGGATTTGGGTCATGATGGTAGCAAAGGACAAATGCCATGTTGTGAGGATGATGGGGAAACCTGTTCACCATGTGTTAGTGCCAGTTGCCTTGCATCTCCGATCTGACTTACGGAAGTTGGCATAATCGAGGAGGTACTTGTTGAATAAGATCACAGTGGAACTCAAAGTGATCCATGTCCTAAGAAGATGTTAGCGATCCTGCCCGATCTGTTTGTTCCCTTTGTTGTTGCTCACGTCACATAGACCGCGGGGTGGAATGTGATACTCGGCCGCTCTGTTTTCTCCGCTGCGGGGTTGACAGTGGGCAGAGACTGTTCCCGGGGAGTCTCGCCAGAGGCGCGGACCTTCTCGCCGTCGCTCATCACAAAAGTTTGAGATTGATCGGATAAGAAGCGCTTGAATTCAAAAGGTCGCGGCCGGGACAGGCTTCCTTGACTGAATGCGGAGGAAGCCACGGAGAAAAGTGGGCAGGATTAAAGGGAATTAGAAGGCAGTGATCACTAGAATGGTCCGGAGGTTAACAAGTGTGACAGGACCAAACAAATAGCCAAGAACTAAAAACGAATGTAGATGAAGAAATGATGATGAAGATTGAAGGGATGGAATGGGGTACGTACTTCGGAAGTAATTTTTTTTTTCGGCGCCAAACATTAACTTCAAGATGGGTTTGAAAGGGAAATTAAGAGAAGTAGTGATCGTAAAGGAAAATCGGCCAAAAGCCAGACACAAAAACGGCACAGGAACAGGAACAGTAAGAAGAGATCCACTCGCCGCAAACAGAAAGTCAGAGAGGTGTGCTGGAGATTGAGTATGTGAATTACCGTTACATCCATTACATCTCTGCAAAGGCCACCTGTACACTTTTGCTTATGCTCTCTATCATTTGTCCGTTCTCTTATGAGGTTTTCGTTTGTATACCGGTTGTGCTAGAACCAAATACGGAGTACCACATTGCAACTTGATTAGCTCCAGATGTCTTAATTTTAGTTTGAAAAAGACCCTCTGGTCAAAACGTCCATGGGTTTGTGGCGAGAAAAGCTCCCCTTTTCCCATTTAATCTTCACCAATGATATCAATCTGGTCATAGATCCACTGTTCCTAATCAAATAACCCATAAATTTACTCTGTAATCGAATTCCAATTGTTAAACATATTAATATCTATGTAGGTACGTCTGGTATGGTCATTAACCTCGGTACCATCGGAATATGTTCTATTGAATGAGCTATCTAGAAACGGTTTTTTTTAAAAAAAAAAAAGAAAAAAAAACTACGACCCCCCGAAACAGCGCAGATCTAAATTAATAGCAGGGCATTACGCAAGCAGCTGCTAGCCAAGGCCCACAAGAATCCGCGTTCAGTGACGCTCTGGTCCATCCGGTCCCTTACGGGGTGGAGAATGCGGCGATCCGCCATCTGAAGGCTGTGTCTGACGCAATCAGGGGACTTCTAGCCCCCCACAAGTGCAATGTGCTTGGACCAGTGGTGGTGGGGGAGGACGACCCCTAAGCTTTTAGTACTGACGGGAGTTGATGTTTCACAAAGCAATAAGCACACGTTCTTCGGTCATTCGAGAAGGGATTTTTATTTTCTAGGGGACGATCAATTACAAGATCAGTTGTTTGTGCAAAGAGATCCTCGCTACATTACTCTCTTAGGAGTGGCAATCAGTGGAATCAAATGCCAATGCACTGAAGTTTCGCAAATCCCGTTATCTCCTCGAGACCGCCAGATGAGACTATCACGGATATTACTCCGAGAGGGCTCAAGGTGTTTCCCTTTAGGACCGTTCTATCGAATTAGCTATTTGGTGCGTGTGATAAACATTTCCACTGGACGTACGATATAGGTACCTACGGGGGAATCAATCGATGCAATTTGGAAGACCATCTCTAACAATCTGAAGAAGATAGCCTCATGTGTTCCCAAAATCATCTTTCATGGAGGTCCATACAAACTACTTCGTACTGAAACAGCATTGCAGTACTAATATAACCACAGCCAACAATGTGCCAATGCCCACATCGGTGGCGTTTTTAGACTGACTACATTGGATCGAGATTCAATGGTTGCCCCCTATCCATATCGCCCCTTTTTCCCTCTCCGAGGCTTTTTTTTTTGAAAAAAAAAATTTTGCTTCTGGGATAATTTTCCGAGATTGGGATTGATATGATAATGGGCATTCCGGAGGAAGGACCCAGAGTGCTTTTCTGATACCCGCCAAGGGAAGAATTCAAGGTCTAATATCAACCTACCCGCATACGAAAGGTGAATGCATGTTTCACGCACTCTAGGTCCCTGCCTTTGGAGGTATCACGATAAGCTCAAACCCATTATAACGGCTTTTCACTGAATGTGATATGTTAAGTTCTTACAAGGGTTCTCATTACGGTATGATGAGATAAGATTGCCTTACGCGTTCATTTTGCTCTATACAGAGCGTAGGGAGTAGGGAGCACAACATGCTCCATACTTGTCTCCAAGATTGAGCCCCGGAGCACTGCCTCCCCCTGAGTACATCATTGTAATTGCAATCGAACTTGTCAATATGATAGGAGTACCTATTTGACGGGTTGTGAAAGAAAATTAATTAAAAGAAAAAAGAAAATTAATCTCCAAATCCACAAAACAAAAACAAAGAACCAATGTCAATACGAGTAAAGCTGAAACAGGCACGTCGTCTCCACCGGATCCGTTTAACCCACAAAACCAGGTGCGTCTAGATACCCTTAGCTTGGTCACGTTGTCCTCCCACTTCCCCTTCTTCTTTGGTTCCTCCGCTCCCTTGCCCTTTATTATCCCTCCATTCCCCTCTTTATATTCTGCAGATTCCTGCAGCTGTGCTTCTATGCTGAACGTCGCCCTTAAGACCTTCAAACGAGTCCCCAGCTTTCAGGACCTTCTACAAGGCAGAATGACCCACCCCGACATGTAAGGACATCTGGACTCACCATCAAACCTATCTCTTAACAATTGCTTCTCAGTTCTGTTGACGTTCTCGTCATTGGTGCTGGCCCAACTGGTTTGGGTGCCGCCAAACGTTTGAATCAGATTGTAAGTCTTTTCCCTGAACATCTACCGTGTCAAAGAGGGGCACATGTAAAGATACCCCAAAAAAGGGGGAGGGGCATCTGGGAATCAAATATCTAATGGAGCATACAGAATGGCCCCTCATGGATGATTATCGACTCAAATGAGATCCCCGGTGGTTTGGCTTCCACTGATGTTACCCCCGAAGGTTTCGTAAGTTGTGACCCGGACTTAATCATGGCCGCACCTCTAACCTGCCTAACAGCTGTACGATGTCGGTGGTCACGTTATCTTCTCCCACTACAAGTACTTCGACGACTGCATTAACGAGGCCCTCCCCAAAGAAGAAGATTGGTACACACACGAGCGTATCTCCTACGTTCGCTGCCAGGAGCAATGGGTTCCCTACCCCTTCCAGAACAACATTTCTATGCTGCCCAAGGAAGAGCAGGTGAAGTGCATTGACGGCATGATCGATGCTGCTCTTGAGGCCCGTGTCTCCAACACGAAGCCCAAGGATTTTGATGAGTGGATTGTCCGCATGATGGGTACTGGTATTGCCGACCTCTTCATGAGACCCTACAACTACAAGGTCTGGGCTGTTCCCACCACCAAGGTAAGATTGACTTGTTTTTCCATGGTCTTGAAACATGACTGATCCACCATGTTTAGATGCAATGCGCTTGGCTCGGTGAACGCGTCGCTGCCCCCAACCTCAAGGCCGTGACTACCAACGTCATCCTTAACAAGACCGCCGGTAACTGGGGTCCCAACGCTACCTTCCGTTTCCCCTCCCGCGATGGTACTGGTGGTATCTGGATTGCTGTTGCCAACACTCTCCCCAAGGAGAACACCCGCTATGGCCCCAACAACAAGGTCGAGAAGGTCAACGCTTACAACAAGACCGTCACTCTCGCCGATGGCACCACCATTGGTTACGGAAAACTGGTCTCCACCATGGCTGTTGACTATCTCGCGGAGGCCATGAACGACACCGAGCTCATTCCCCTCACCAAGCAGCTCTTCTACTCCTCCACCCACGTTATCGGTGTTGGTATCCGTGGTGTCCGTCCCGATCGCATCGGCGACAAGTGCTGGCTGTACTTCCCCGAGGATGATTGCCCATTCTACCGTGCTACCATCTTCTCCAACTACTCCCCCAACAACCAGCCCGAAGCCTCCAAGAAGTTGCCCACCCTTCAGCTCGCTGACGGCTCCAAGCCTGAGAGCACCGAGGCTCAGGAAGGTCCCTACTGGTCTGTCATGTTGGAGGTTTCCGAATCTTCCCTGAAGCCCGTCAACCACGAGACCCTCCTTGCCGAATCCATCCAGGGCCTTGTCAACACCCAGATGCTTCTGCCCGGTGATGAGATTGTCTCCACCTACCACCGCCGCTTCGACCACGGTTACCCCACCCCCAGCCTGGAGCGTGAGGGTGCCCTCACCCAGATTCTCCCCAAGCTCCAGGAGAAGGGTATCTGGTCCCGTGGCCGCTTCGGTAGCTGGCGCTACGAGGTCGGCAACCAGGACCACTCCTTCATGCTCGGTGTCGAGGCCGTTGACAACATTGTCAACGGTGCCGTTGAGTTGACCCTCAACTACCCCGACTTTGTCAACGGCCGCCAGAACAACGAGCGCCGCTTGGTCGACGGTGCCCAGGCTTTCGCGAAGAAATAGTAGATAATTCATTCCCCTTGGTTTCTTGCTTTTACTTGTCGCACAATTCTTGTCTGAAGTGAAGGACTGTTTTTCCCCCTCTCTCTTCCTTTTTTTTTGATCCAATTGAAACGAGCTCATACCGTCATGGAAAAATTATACACATGAGAGCATTTGAACCGATATCTGGAAGACGATTGATCTTTGTTATCTTGTTACTTTCCACTTTCCAACCCTCTTCACCTTATCATCTCCCTATTCCCTCTTCCATCAGCCGAAAGCCTGGATTTGCTTTTGGCACGCTTCTTTTTTTTTTAGAAAACTTGACATGTGCGATTGCTCATTTTTCCTTCATTCAGTTGATGAACTTTATTTCCCTTCCCAAGTAACTTGTGTGTTGACCTTCTGTGAAATTGATCAGCACGTGACCCTTCCTACTAGACCCATGCCACAGCGCAGCCTCAGGCTCCGGAAGTTCTAAAAATCCAGTCAAGCCATTTGAAAGACCCGTCGGCAACCTTGGAAATTTCTAAGCTAAGCAGATCTCACCCTATTCGGACAGAGTGTTTTGTGGGATTTCTCATCCAACCTTGACGCCCCACCATTGCCATTGTCCCCCTCGAGTTACACTCGCCACAATGCAGATCACTAACCAGACAATCACCAACGTACACCGCAAAAGCCTCTCTATCCGAGCCATGTCCATCCATAAAACCCGAAACGCAAACCCCTCGAATCAACATGAGCATCCTACCAGCCAACACTGTCTCATCGCTATCGACACACGGAAGTTTCCCGGAACACAAGGCTTTCAAGATTATTCTATGCGGTGGCTAGTGGATCCGTGCAGAGAACGCGGGTCAACCATGAGCCAGTGATATCGAGGATCAAGAAAAACTATCTCAACGGTGTGCAAGCAAAAGGAAAGTCCGAGTAAGCCATGTCAGCAATTCAGCGTGACGTCGGCCGCGGATTCCAGCGTTCTCACGGTGAGATGTGTCAATGGTGAAAGGGCACTGCCTGGGCCGCGTCAGATCTGGAGGCAGCCAGGTTTGTGTGGTTCTTCTCCACTGAACTATTGATAGATTTCGATATCGTTGTCTCAGATAATTGTTTACTGGCATTCTAGATCGCTTCTTTTGTATTTTAACGTGAGACATTGTATAGTCTGGACCAAGGCTTGAGGGGTTATTTTTGATTTTTCTGGCATGTTGTTCTGGAACCGCTAATGCGTGAGGCTGGTTCAGTATCTTATAATTGCATACTTCCATTCCCCGTATGATCATTAGGGTCTTGGGGCGAGAAAAATCATACCATAAATATACAGAATTAGAGTCGACTGGGTTCATGCCTTTGAAACCAATGGTAGCAATAGAAACCCCACTGGGACAGCTCATGGTGGACACGAAGAGGCCAAACCGCTAGAATAAAGCCACCAATTTCAAGCATCCACGATATCTTGAGATCGCTTTTGGATGACGATGTTGGTGTGAGGGTTTCGGTCCTCGTCAATGTGATTGGACACGCTAGCAGGCGAGACTGCCCCCTCGGCCAAGACTGCCTCGTAAGACATGGTGGACGCTAGGGTTAGGTCCCGGGGTGGGACGCTTGCGGTGGCTGGACTTGACGAGACACCACACGACAAGAATGAAACCTGCGGCGTCGAGGTTGGCGAGTCAACGGACATGGGTGTATATATAGCATCTGTGTGGCTTGACCAGTGGTTTTCTCCGCGACAATCTCGATCTGCCCGGGGATTCGACTATTAGATAGAGCGGATGTTTGGATTTTTGGGAGTTTGACACATGTACCTGTTTCTTCAAGAGGGGCCTTGCCGCTATGGAGTTCGAGTTCCTGCGGTGACAGCGCAAATTTCACCTTCAGTCGCGGTGGGTCAACAGACCAGTCTGCTTGCGATTGTATTCCAGTCGAAATTGTCAAATGGAACGAGGACCGGTGGTTTGGGTTTGGGGATTTGAAGCATGACTTTGTCACAGAAGTGTGTGGAATTGCATTTGTAGAGGCATAGCTCCTCTCTCCTGGAGAAGACTCAAAACATGAGAATCCTTCTTGACTCAGACCTGTGGTATCAATGTCCGCATTGGATTCTGTAGGGACACAGGAGCTGAGGGATGGGTCCATCGTTTCGTCGCAGCTCTCGTCTAGGTGCAACTGCTCGAATTCAACAGTCAGGGTATGACGGATATAGATCCGTTCAAGGTGAGATTCAACATCACTTTCTTCCAGGGCAATGACAGTTGGGGGCCGTCTGATCATGGTCTTCTAGGATGGATTTTTGTCAGTTGTACAGAGAGAGCCCTGGAGGTCCCGTCTATAGAACCATCGTGTCTCGGAGGAAACTGCGTATCTTCACCATTTCAGAAGTCTCGACCAGGATATGCGGACGAGAACACATTTGCAATACCAAGTGATCCTTTGATCTCTATAATAAGTTAGGAAATGGTATAAATCTATAAATCTGTACAAGATCCTCCGTAAAATGGAGTACATTTGTAAATCCATCCTTTCCCCTCGAATCTGGACAAATCAGCTATGCCCATTTCATCTCACCACTCAAAAGGGATTAAAATCACACATGTGTATCTTTTTGCTCTCTCTCTCTCTCTTGTCTCTCTTTCTCTCTCTTTAGTCTTCTAGTAAATGCCCCGGAAGAAATATTAATAGTCAAGTCAGGCTCAGCCCCTCGACACTAGACCCAATTTCTACGGAGCCTCCTGTTGATCCTTCCCCCTCTCTCCAACGTCAACTCTTTCACTCACACTTTCTTTTCCCCAACTCTTCCTCGGATCATGCATCCGCTGCGTTTCCGATAGCCTGTCTTTCGTTGACTCTTTCGACCTTGCTTCTCCTGAAGCCCACCGGCATATCTCCGGTCGCAGCCAAATCACAAACCCTCCGCCATGAACGGGGATCTCAGCTTGTCCCAGGTTCTGGGAGGGCTTCGGATAGCCAATCCAGACGATTCGCCTCTCCCAGCGGAGGATGCGACCGCTGGGTCAACAGGCTCCAGCCCGTTCGGACGGCCGGACGGTTCGGTATCAACACAACACTATCCCGCACATGACGAACACCCCTCTGTCTTTCCTCCCGCACCCGTTGAAGTCCCTGGGACAGAGGATCGTCAAACTTCATTCCTTCAAGCCTCTCCCGAGATACCACCATTGCAATCAGGCACATACCAACCGTACTCGGCTCAACCCCTCTCAACACCTTCGAATCCCAACCGACCCCTTTCCTCCGTATACGTGAATGGCTCAGCGACCTCAGTCCTCTCCCGTGATAACACATATCGCATTCGAACCGACTCCGGTGCTTCGTCCAAATCTGGGTCTCAGGCGCGGTCAGATACACGAGGAGGATCGTCGGCATTACATGCCGGTGTTCTGGCGCGTGACAACTCTCACAGCGACCGATCCTACCGGACCACGCAGATCCCGGGCAACGGCCCGGCGGTGATGCGTCAGTCGTCTCGAGCACAAGCAAGAAGTGGCGGCGCGTCTCAGATGCCCCGAACGTCTTCTTCTTCTTACATGACAGAAAACGGCCCAATGGCGAGTAGCGAGGAATGGCAAGACCGTGGCGCCGCGGTCTCTGTGAGACAGGAGGTAGATGCTAACGGCCAAACTGTCTCTCGTTATATCAAGAAGGGCGTCCGAGACTTTTCGTTTGGGAACACTCTTGGCGAAGGCTCCTACAGTACGGTCGTCTTTGCAACGGACCGACAAACTTTGAAGGAGTACGCGATTAAAATCCTTGACAAGCGACACATCATCAAGGAGAGAAAAGTTAAATACGTGAACATCGAGAAGGATACACTCAACCGCCTGACCGACCACCCGGGTATTGTGCGGCTATATTACACCTTCCAGGATGAGCAGTCGCTTTATTTCGTGCTGGACTTGTGCAAAGGGGGAGAGTTGCTCGGTGTTCTCAAACGAATGACCACATTTGATGAGGAGTGTACAAGATTCTACAGCGCCCAGATTCTTGACACGATAGACTATATGCACAAGCGCGGCGTCATCCACCGAGACCTGAAGCCGGAAAATGTGTTGCTCGACAGCGGGATGCATGTCAAGATCACTGATTTCGGAACGGCAAAGATTCTCAAGACCCCACGAGTCGACCCCAGTTCAAATGGCATTCCTCCTCTTGACTCGGCTGAGCTTACACAGGAAGAGCGGGCGAGCTCTTTCGTTGGCACTGCGGAGTATGTCAGTCCCGAGTTGTTGACGGACAAAAATGCGTGCAAAGCCAGTGACCTCTGGGCTTTCGGCTGCATCATCTACCAACTTTTGGCCGGTCGTCCACCGTTCAAGGCTGGAAACGAGTACCAGACCTTCCAGAAAATTGTGGCCCTCGATTACGAATTTCCAATTGGATTTCCTACCGTTGCGCGTGATCTTGTCGAACGTCTCCTCGTCCTAGAGCCTGCTCGGCGTCTTCAGATCGAACACATCAAAAATCATGAATTCTTTAACGGCATCACATGGGGGTCAGATCTATGGCAACAGAAAGTACCCCGCTTGAAGGCCTATGTACCCCCTCCACGCGAACCCATCAAGCTCAATGACAGTAAGAACGGAGAGAGTCAGCCTCCAGTCATCTCCACTGCCCCCTCGGGCGCACCAAATGCCAGTTCCCGCCACCTTCCACGAGTGGTAACCGAGCTACCCCCGCCGAGTCAGCTCGACATTGAATGGTCACCGGTACTAAATAAATCCAACGAACGAATTTTGAAATTGGGTAACTTGGTTGTTTTATCTTCTGCTGCCTCACACAGTCCGATGTCCAAGAATAGCAGTGGCGATTTAGAGGCACCCAAAAAGTTCTCTCGTTTCTTCTCAGCAAGCGCCACAAAGAAACGACAGCGTTTGGTGATGGTTACATCATCCGGTCGAGTCATTCTGGCCGCATCGGGTGGTGATGATAAGAAGATCAAGCTTGAAATTTCCCTGCTTGTTCCGGGGACAAGTTACAGAAGTGTGACGGATTCTAAAGGAATTTCATCCTGGGTTGTGGACACGGTATGTAGTACGATTTTTGCCAGTCACAATGACCTATCTAACGGAACCCCCCAAGAGAGAGAAACATTACGTTTTCGAGGATCCCAAGCCATCATCAAGCAATATTGGCGCTTCAGCGGTTCAGGTGCAAGAATGGCTGGACGCATTGGATAGATCTCGGGAGATGGCATCACAGCAACAAAGTACAGGCTTCTCCGACGATGCATTCCGTGACCTTTCTTCTGATTTCCCTAGTCCCGCCAATACACTAGATCGCACCTCTGACATGCAGAAAGACGATCGAGGCCCACCATCATCAAGTCGGAGTCACCTAGTGAAACAGCAGACCGGCGACACCGAGTCAACGAAAGGAAGGAAACGATTCAGCAAGCGTCATTCGAAGAACGGTCTTGCTGCGGTGTTCTAGTGACGTCGAAGCTCTACGCATTTTGCGATCCATCTACACACCCATGCTAAATTCGACGTTGTCTTTTCGGTGTCAGTATTGAACCGACTTTCCTATACTACCTGCTGCCTTACCTCGCACCTCGCTATCTCATCATCTGAAGATGGACCACCGTGTCCACCCGTCTCCCCAACTATCTTTTTCATTTCTCTTCCATGCACAGGCATTCGCACAAAGATGGGATCTCATCCCAGCATATCGGTCATCCTACCTTTTGCATATTTCATTGACAAGCGTGCTCTACTGTTTGTTTGTGTCCTTGGTGGAACTTGTTTCTTGCATTTAGATTTGGAAGGGAGCGCATACTTTGTTCGTTTACTGCCTCACTGTCTATTTCAGAATTCCGATTTTCCCTCTTGTCGTTTGCTATGTCCTCCACTGTTATATATCCCTGATTTGGCCTGAAGCATCTGTCGGCTCTTTTGACTTCTTTGCTCCCTGTTCCTGGCAAGTTCTCAGGGTTTTTTTTTGGAGGCTGACATTTTGATTATCTTTGAAAACCAAGCAATCTAGGCTGATACGTCCGCATCCTCATTTCCCTCCTCTTTCTCCCATCTCTCTTGCTGCTCTTTTCAGGGCAAATTCGGACAAAAGAAGAATCCTTTCCTTCCCACGATGTCGTCACCTTTCTCGTTATGTCTATTTTCTTTCTTGGCTGTCCTACTTGCAGTGAAATCTTGGTTTGAGCTCACTTTAATTGTGATTTTCTTCTACCCGTGGACTCTCTTCAAATTCCATCCTTTGCCTCTCCTCTTGGTATACACTTGACCGTCTCTCTTTTCCTTGCTCTTCTTCTTCCCCTGCTCTAGGCCGAGAGATGATATACCCGATTTCCCTATTCACAAATAATTCTTCATCCGTTTTCCTACAATCCCTATATCTCTTGAGGTTCATAATGAAACACTGCGTGTCCCAAGCAAAGTGATCTCAAAATAATGTACTAAGTGACAGGTGTATTTTATAGATACATATGAGGGTAGGTACAAGTAGGCATGGATCATGAGGGTGAGAGATCCGTGGATCCTTTTTTTCCCCCTCCAAACTAAATAAACAGCCAGTCGAGGCGCGTGTTGTCCAGCTCCTCAATCCAGTCGAACTCAAGATCGTAATCACTCTGATCACAGCCCTGCTCATCTGAAAGTTTCTGACACTCACTACGCTTGAGATCCTGTTTCTGCCACATGAGACGCAGGACCCACGCAGCGTTGCGGACATTAACACTTGTTAGGGCCTCATATAGCGAGCCGAGCTTTTCAAGGATAAGACCCCGCTGCGAAGGACGACATTCCGCTCCAGCGATGAATGTGGGCCAGATGAGGCATTTGAAGTGGGGGTCTGAATCGGGGATAAGGCAGATTTGTGTGATGAGATTTGTGGCGATGAGTCTGTGGTCGAGCGGGAGACCGACGTCGGTCCAAGGGGGTGAGAAGCCTTCTCTGGCGCGTGAGAGGACGCGGCTTGTGTAGAGGTAGACGGCGTCTTGATAGGAAGTTGCGAGGGCGAGACGGTAGGTTAGGTTTGGGATGAAGAAGACTTTTTGCATCGCTTGGCTCCAGGCTGTTGGATCAAAGTTGCGGATTCCTTGGAGGAGCTTGGCGAATGAGTCTAGGGTCAGGGGCTGGCCGTGCTGCATTGGGGTTGGCAGTGCTGTTGGTTGGTGAGTTATGGCAGCGACTTCGGAGTCTGGGTACCAGAGGGCGTGGATGAAGAAAATCACTTCTAGGAGATAGGCGGGGCAACCGACCCAAGAATTTTCTTCGAGACGTTTGAGGATCTCTGGGCCCATGGAGGAGGAGTAGAAGGGCTTTGAGAGCGCACCTGGGCGAGCTAGCGTTGATCCCATGATTTCCATTCTGTAATGTCAGCAAGCCCTTTTTCTTATAAGCAGAGACCGGAATCTCACATCAAACACCCGTCAAGAGCGAAAGCGTCCAAGTCATCGAGAATTCCTTGTCCCGGTCCATTTTCAGGTCGGTCTCTGAGAAGCTTCTTCGCGCCCTCGACATGGTAACTCCAGGCCCCGCTGCCGGACTCAAATATGTCTAAGAAGGCAAGCAAGACGATCGCAGCTAAGGTTCTGCCGTCCTTCTGCATCGCGGGATTATGAAGATCCATGGATAATTGGCGAAGGGCACGCTGCTTGTACTCCAAGAAATGATGATATGCCTGGGAGGTGGGTTTTCGAGAACCTGCCGGTGCAACAATATCTTCAATTTCCTCCACTGACATCGATAGATTGCCCGGTGACCATGGTAGAACAGATGTGTCCGAATCTGATACAAGGGAGCAATGAAGAGCTCCAAGAGCAGCGATGCTGCTAGTAAGAACAGGAGAATGGCTGACCAGCGCAGTAAGATCTCGGAAGGGATTTTTGTATTGGGAGTAAAGGGCGAAGTCGTTCACCATGTATTGATTGTCTTACGAGTGATTATCAGCGGGGCCTCGAAAAAATGCATTGGGGAACTCTCACAGTGATGTACATAGTACCTTGAAAACTGGCTGAGATCTTTGAGCAGTGGATCTACCAGTCCCCATGGCGTTGGAGTATAGTCCGCAGGAGGAGTGCCCCGAGGAACACGAACAACTGCGGTGTTCTGTTCCTCAGCCGAATGGACACCCAAAGACGCATTATCTCCCCCAAAAGTTGGACTCTCCGCCTCATAAACCCATCCATCGGTCTCCGGACTAGGTTGGTTCCCAGAGCTGTGTGATTCGGCATCGGATGAGGATTCGGCGACAGAGAAAAAGTTGAATCCGCTGCTCACCGGAGTCGAAATATACGTCTCTGTGGCTGGCTGGCGCTTTGGCTTGCTAGGTGGTATCTTCACGTCATCAAAGCTGCGGCCCATCATCTTTCCTCGACTGGCCACTCCACCCTTGACCCAAACAAGCGGTTTCTGATACCCCAGACATTCTTTCCCCGCATCTCGACACTTCCGACAGGTGGGCTGGCCATTGTCGCAAATAATGCGACGTCGTCGACAGGTATAGCAACCTTTGGTCATTCTCTGGGCGTAATGAGAGAGATGTAGTTTTTTAACTGGACAGCGAAGAACTGAGTCACTGGTGAAGTTTGTTCAGCGCCACTCGCCATCGTCGGTTATGGTCAGGATTCGGAAGCAGGATGTTGACAAATCCACAAAACCATTCTAGTTGTTTAAGAGGTGACTCTGTCGAGAAATTTCTTAACCCAAGTTTTAAATCCGCCATACTCCCAGGAAAGCTTCACTCGCGGGGCTCGCGGGGAGGATGACTAAGAAAAGCTTCGGATGATTGAGACCTCAGGGCTGTTCAGTCTTCTTCCTCAATCTTCAACTTGCTCTTCCAAATCAGCACTTGGAACCCTATGTTCGAATATTAGAAGAACTGCGAGATGGTTTTGAATCTCTTGTTCCGAAGCATGGAGGTAAGTGCTTTTGCTATTGCCACTCCGATCTTCACTCACATTGTTCCACTTGTAGGTCTGGCTCACCGTTCGAGTACGACGCCCTAACAATGATATGCTTGTGCTTGAGCTTGTCTTCTAATCACATCCATACAGCTCCTTCGAAGTCCACTCTTTCACCGTATGGTGGGCCGAGTCCACCAAAAAGTTCAACACATCAGATACGGGGTGCCTCCGGAGGAGCAGGGAGGCACCAAACTCGAGGGACAAGGTATGTTTAGTACCCAAATTTGGTAAAATACTTTGTCTGATCTGTTACTTGTTAGACTTCCAATACAAGAAATTCCTAAGCCATTTCAAGGAAGAGCTGAAGGACCAGATGAAGGGAAACCCGCGGAACAAATTTTAATACCCTAGCGCTTGTTTGATAAGGCAACTGACGATACCCACATTGAACAGAACATTCTTGTATGTTGTTTTCCCCCTTTCGAAAATCTGGACTATTACTTCTTGCCAATATTTTGGCGCTGTATCGACACCGGGTATACAGTGGGATGCACTTTCGCACTTCCTGGGATGCATCCCTAGTTTCTTCCGGAGAGTAAATTGATTTGAATTATTGACATGCCACTTCTACTATTCCCAGCTGTTTATATGTGCAGTCAGGCTGGGATCCAATAACTGAGGCATATATGTCGAGGTTCGGGGTAACCCTGAAGGGTGCGCTACAGGATCGTTACGTTGGATGCACCTTGGCTTCAGGCACAATCAAGATCCGTCAAATTGCCATATTCAGATTTTCATGTATTGTTCCTAATCCTTCGCAACTGAATCAACCAGTAACACAGATTCCGGCGTATTCATTCCTTCATGAACGATATGAGAAAGGTGTGCGGAGGATGGTAAGGCTAGAGATGCTCTTTTTGACTCTCAGGCTGCTAGCAATAAGCTCGAGTTCGTTCCTAAAGCCGGTCCTCCCATTCAGCTGTTATTCGAGCAATCTCTCTTTCCGTAGGGTTTCAAAATAGTCTCTTCTCACATCTGCAAGCCCACCTACACTGCTCGTTTTTGTCTAGAACAACAAAGTTTTGGCGTGTACCTCCGGTTCCTTCACCCTTTATCCCAGTGCGTCTTCCTTGAAAAAATCAAGGACGGCCAAATTTTTGGAGTCTCCCGCAATCTCGTTCTCCAGATCGGCACCACTAGGACATCGTGCCCACACAGCATCACCGAACGATTCATCACGTGTGGCTTCGACGTATCTGCGGAACCAGGGCTTTATAACCGACAGTCCAACATTCCGGCATTCCTGTTGAGAATTTCCGAGATAGGAAGATCGAGGAATAGCTGCTGCACTGTTGGTTTGGATAGTTGCACCCATGTGTTTAATCACATATTAGCCTGGATCATTCAAGCAGTACTCCGTACATGTCGAAAGTTAACTGGGGTCAATCCCCCACTTAGCTTTCTTGCTTCAAGGGGGTTGGATGGATTAGGCAGGTACAGAGACAGATTAAGGGGGATCAAGATGGGAAGCTCAAAGAAATCAAGTAAGACCAAACAGGGGGTTAATCCCTGGAGGTTCTCTGTCGATTAGGTCAGCCTTCATACAATGGTCCATACCCATGGGATTCACCCACCTCCACCCAGATCTTTTAGCTCGTAAATAGCGTAGTATAGAATTCCGTATTTTTATATAGATTTAGATTTAATTGTCAAATAAAATGGCTCTTAACCCTCAGTTTAACGTACAGTAGGGCTTCCCGAGCATCACTAGGCCTATAAGTTGGCTGTCATACCGTGAATTAGCAAATTCAGGGACTTCTACGTTATAGAAGAGAGCAATTTAAGGAATTTGACCAGTTCGATATAATACAAAATACAGGCCCACCAATGGAGACTAAGATTTATTAGGGAAATTAGACAGATCCGCCACAGGAGAAAGTGGGTGAAGCCCACAGGCACACTCCGTAGACTAGTTAACTAGCTAATGTGCACTGGTAATTTCTTGAGTGGTCTATCTGCGCAGTCTAACAAAATACCTCCAAAGTATTTCTAAACACTTGAACGTATCTAGCTCGATTGTTGGAACATCCCTCAGCCGTTGGAGATATTTTGTGAATAATGAAATAGCCTTCGGGAAGATACTGCAGTTGTTACCTATAGCAGAGGTTGATGTTTGATTTCGGATTTGATGTCAATTTCCTCTGATTCGTTATGACTGGTCTAACCTTACACCGCTACAGGACGAAAAAAGTACAACCACGTTGGATTTTCTCGCTTTGAACTACTTCAACTAGTCTAACCTGACTCCCGAACACAGAATCAAGCCGATCACGCTGAAGCCGAACCCCGGCTCAGACTTGGGTTCAATTTCCGTGGAATCACATCCGATCGTGTTCGCATAACTCGAACTCGACCCATCTCACTCCCCTTCATCACTTTAGCGAGAACACGTTGAAGGACCATTGCTCTAGCTGGCCTCCAGAAAATCTTCAGTGTTTCCCGGGGGTTCGTCCGCATGAACATGACCTCAGCTACCTGCAGCTTCTCGTGACGCGAGCTTTGATTCAGGTCTAGCTCCTTTTTCTGTTCGATGTTGGTGAATGCAACGAACACGCGTCTACCCATGAGCTCGGTGCCTAGCAATTCTAGCTGGTTTTCGTTGCCGAAGAATGTCACGGAGAGCATCTTTCCAATAAGATCCACGTAATATTTGCCGTCGTACTCATATGAGGTATCAGCATTAAAATTCATGATGTTTCTGATATTCTTGGGTGTTATGTCAGACAGACTAGTTCATGTCAGTGCTCGTTGCAAACCTAGGTTCAGGTGCCCCTATTTTGAACAGGTACTAACTGGACGACAACATGTGTAATATCTGTGAGACTGTAATCCTCAAATTTGGTTTCGTGCTGAACCTCGAGGGCGGGAAGCGAGACTCCGATGACCTCAGGAGAAGAGCGTGCCTCGGCCATGTTTTCTATAGTCAGATTTGAAGTGCTGGAATTTGGTTGTCGAAGAGTTGATCGGGTGAACAGAGTGTAGAATGGACTTGAATCGTAGATGCTAGATATTGGGTATGCTGAATGCTGAATGCTGAATGCTGAATGCTGAATGCTGAATGCTGAATGCTGAACGCTGAACGCTGAAGGATAAACGCTGAAGATGCTGTAGATGTGCTGAGCGGAATTAGATATTATGAAGCGTATGCAAAATTGTTGTCGAGGTGAAGTTGAGATGCTAGACAAGAAGAATACATTTATATTCAGAACCCACGAGGAGCAAAGGGGAAAAACAATGGATGACTCTATTCCTGGGAAATTGAATTAAGAAATCACAGGCCTTGAAGCAAGTGAGTCCACCTCATTGCATGATTACAATGGGATTTTTTGCCCTTAATCACCCTTTGCGAGGAATCCAAGACTCCACCTATTTGAACTACAAAGCAAGATCCCAATATAAAGCCTCTGCTAAGCTTTCTATTTATGCAGTGCTGTAAGAGCGAGTCTAGAAGTAGAGTCTCCGCTTCCATCATGTCAACCCCTTTGTTATCGATATTTCAAAAATGGAACGTGACCGCGCCTCCCCTTCAGATGCCCACTGAAGACACGCTTAATTTCTCCTATGTTTGATAGGCCCCAGGTGTAGCGAATCAGCGGTGGCTTTTGCTAATCTTACAAGGGAAATGTTAGGTGTCCGAACAATTTCGAGATTTTCAAAGCTCCTCATCAAAGGCTGGAACATTATCTAACTCAAGATTTAAGAAAGATAATACTGCATTCTACTATTGACATTTCATCTACCTAGACGCGGAGAAAATGTGGGCGGATGCGACGGATATACGGAAAGTGGCCCTGCAGGTGAGGCAGGGCACTCCGGTTGCATCGTGGATTAAGGGAAAGACCCATCTTTGTAAGTATTAGGCTATAACTGAATAGTCAAGAGCAATCCTTCACTGAACCCATTTGACTATACTCCGTACATTTGCAGTAGATGCGAACTGTTGAGCGTAACCAGTTGACGCCTGTAAAGAACAGGGATCAAAACACAACCGTTTATCCTGGCTAAGATAGAAAGGCATCGATGAGAGGCTCATAACTACAGAATGTCTCCTAAGTTGTACCTTCCTGATGTCTTCCCGACCCGAACAACAGGTACAAAAAAGCAGACCCTCAAAGGTCTCAGAAGAGGCGGTATCCCCGGAACGTAGGCTTGTCAGCACGCCACATGGACGAATTGGGATTAGTGGGATCCAGTTTTTAGGCCGACTCCCGGGTGTGTCGGCTTTTTGAATTTTCTTTTTTTTACTTTTTACTTTTTTTTTTTTTAAAAAAAAAAAAGAAAGTAAAGTAAAAAAACCGTAAA